ACCATGAAAATGAACAAAATCTGGCTACCAGTATTAAAAAACTCTAAAATTACAATGGCAAAACAGCAGAGAGGAAACAACCAGGCACATCTTAACACCTCTCAACAGAACATTTTCCCAGGCTAACCAGGCCTTCAAATGCTAATGAAGGTAGTCAGCTGAAACATTCACACCTACCTTCAGCAGGGAAGAGCTCCTTGCCCCACCCCAGCCATTCCACAGATATATAAACCCATTTTTCCTACTTCCAACAGACCTCACTACCTCTGAGGATGCTTGCCATAGATGCAGGCGAAACGTCAGGAGAAATGCCTCTAGAACATGGCCCTATAGCCCGAAAAAAAACCCTACAAGAACCTAATGAATAAATACATCTATTTTCATAAATGCCTAATACGTAATTTATTATTTATGTATAATAAATTAATCAATAATGGTTTTCATATACAGCAAAAGGTTTGTTTGTTTATTATTTGTAATTAATAACAAATAAATAAGAAATATGTTTATTTCTGTTCACAAATGATTAATATGTAACTTATTATTTATGAATAATAAATTCATAAACAATCCTTTATTAATAATTAAGATTAATAATAAACATATTTATTTCTTTTCACACGTTACTAATATATTATTATTTATAAATAATTGTTTACTTGTAAAAATAGTAATATTAAATTATTTATTAATAAATCATTTAAAATTTAACACACAATTAACCATTAAATGAGATAACAATTAAAATGTGTTTAATAATTAATAAATAATAATGGTGCAGCAGGTTAAATGTCTAAGCTGCTGAACTTGCTGACCGGAAAGTCGGCAGATCGAATCCGGGAACGGCTTGAGCTCCCGTTGTTAGGCCCAGCTCCTGCCATCCTAGCAGCTTGAAAACATGCCAATGTTGACTTAAAGTCAAGAGGAAACCTTAAACTTTACTTATTTATTATTTATGTATTCAATTTAAATATTTTATCAATTTATTACTATTATTTTTGAATAATCTGCAAATAATTTATTATTTACTAGCTGTCCCCTGCCAGGCGTTGCTGTGGCCCAGTCTGTTGATCTGGAAAATAAAGTAATGAGAAAGTGTGGGTTTCTAAAATATGTAATGTCTTGATGCTTGTAGGTAAACAGTATTTCTTTTTCTGTTTCTTTGCCAGTGTTGATGTGGAAAGTGTCTGGTTTGCCTACTCTGGAACATGCAACATATCATTCTCCTTCTTTAAGGTCCCCTTTCAAATCTGTGATACTATATCTCTCTCTGTGTGTATGAATCATATCTATCTATCTATCTATCTATATCTGTGGCTGGATGGCTCTTTGTCAGGAGGACTTTGATTACATTTTCTTGCCCTGATGAAGGGAGTTGGACTGCATGGCCATAAGTATTTTCTGTTGGTCATGGGGGTTCTGTGTAGGAAGTTTGCCCCAATTCTGTCGTTTGTGGGGTTCAGAATGCTCTTTGATTGTAGGTGAACTGTGAATCCCAGTGACTACAACTCCCAAATGTCAAGGTCTATTTCCCCCAAACTCCATCCGTGTTCATATTTGGGCGTATTGACTGCTTGTGCCAAGTTTGGTCCAAATCCATCCTTTTTTGAGTCCACAGTGCTCTCTGGGTGTAGGCGAACTACAACTCCAAAACTAAAGGACACTGCCCACCAAACCTTTCCAGTATTTTCTGTTGGTCATGGGAGAACTGTGTGCCAAGTTTGGTTCAATTCCATTGTTGGTGGGGTTCAGAATGCTCTTTGATTGTAGGTGAATCCCAGCAACTACAACTCCCAAATGACAAAATCATTTTTTTGAGTGAAGGACATACATTGAGTTGTTAGGTGTCTTGTGTCCAAATTTGGTGTCAATTCGTCCAGTGGTTTTTGAGTTCTGTTAATCCCACAAACGAACATTACATTTTGATTTATATAGATTAATGAAAATAAATAACTTATCATTTATTAATGTATTTAATAATGCATCACATTAAAAGAGGTGAAATAAAATTAAATCTAATTATCATTCTTTCTCTTCAAGCTCATCTTTGATCCACTGAATCCACGTCTATATTATTATTATTATTATTATTATTATTATTATTATTATTATTATTATTATACCCAGCTTTTATTTCGTATAAACATGCCCTGCCTTTCCAGCCCATAGCAATGGAAACCTGCCTTCAGTTCAGATTCATGCGAGGGACTGATGTGATTGGACTCACTTTCAATGACACACAAATAATGCATTGTAGACTATGGTTGTCATGCTACTTCCTACTCTAGTTGTATACTATGAAAGAAGTTGGGCTCAGTCCTTGTCAAAAATGGCAGGCTGGATGTACACTGCCATAAGGATTTCTGGATAAGGTTGATTGTCTGGATCCATTTCCATCTGGCTTTAGAGTGGGACGTGGAACAGAAAAAGCTTTGGTCACCTTGGTGTATGATCTACACAGAGAACTTGATCGGGGGAGTCTGACCCTCTTAACCGTCCTGGACCTCTCAGTGGCCTTCAGCACCATCAACCATGGTATCCTTCTGGGAAGGCTTGAGGGAATGGGATTAGAAGACAATGTGCTATGGTGGTTCTGACCCTTCTTCTCAGGCCGCTCCCAGAAGGTGGTCCTGGGGAAGTCCTGCTCGACCTCATGGCTGGTGGGTTGTGGGGTTCCACAGGACTCATCGCTATCCCCAATGTTATTCAACATCTACCTCAGTGGTTCCCAATCCATAGCCTGTGGACCACCAGTGGTCTGCAAGAACGAAAATATGGTCCACAGCCTCACCATTACTACACTGTTGTCTCAAAACCACATGATAGGTCTCATGAAACCCTCTTAAAGTGCCTAGGCAACGGGTATGTCAGGAGGGAGAGGCTGACTACCCACCAAAGATTACTACTACCCCATCATCTCTAGATTATTAAATATGGTTTTCTGTGGATGAGCAGATGGTGACTACTGGGTAGCATATGTTCTGCATTAGAAACTAGAGCTGATGTGGTTTATCCAATTTTCTGAATCAGCACCCCAAATAACCAAACCGAATCTAAAGTTGACCAAAAACTGATCTGTAACCCTTTTGGTACTACTGTTGGTCAGGGGTCCAAAAGGTTGGGAACAACCGATCTACATGAAGCCTCTGGGATACATCATCTGGAGTTTTGGGGTTCAGAAGGAAGGAAAGAAGGAAGGAAGGAGAAAGGGAAACAGGCAGGGAGGGCGCGAGGGAGGGAAGGAAGGAGGGGTAAGCAGGGTTTGAGGGAAGGAAGGAGGAAAGGAAAGAAGGGAGAAAAGAAAGGAGGGGGTAAGCAGGGTGGGGGGAGGTAAGCAGGGTGGGTGGGAGGGAAGGAAGGAGGTTGGCAAGCAGGGTGGGAGGGAAGAAAGAAGGGAAGGAAGGAAAAAGAGGGAGGGAAGCAGGGAAGGAGGTAGGGAAGGAAGGAGGTAAGCAGGGTGGGAGGGAAGGGAGAAAAGGAAGGAGGGTAGGCAGGTTGGGAGGGGGGAAGGAAGGAGGGAAGGAAGGAAGAAGAGAGATAAGCAGGGTGGGAGGGAGGAAAGGAGAGAAGGAAGGAAAAAAGGAGGGAGGTAAGCAGGGTAGGAGGGAGAGAAGAAAGGAGGTAAGCAGAGTGGGAGGGAAGGAGGAAGGAGGAAGCAAGGAGGAAGGGAGGAAGAAAGAACAGAAGGAAGGAGAGGGAAACAGGCAGGGAGGGAAAGAGGGAGGGAAGGAGGGTGGGAGGGAAGGGAGGAGGGCAGGAAGGAAAGAGATAAGCAGGGTGGGAGGGAAGGGAGGAGGGCAGGAAGGAGGGTGGGAAGGAAGGAAGGGGGAAACAGGGAGGAAGGAAGGAAGGAAAGAAGGAAAGAAAGAAAGGCAGGAGGTAGGGAGAAAGGGGGAGGGGGAGGGGAGGGTGGAAGGAAGGAAGGAAAGAAGGAAGAAGGAAAGAAAGAAAGAAGGGAGGAAGAAAGGAAGGAAAGAAGGGAAGGAAAAGAAGAAAAGAAGGGAGGAAGAAAGGAAGAGAGGGAGGGAGGACGGAGCCAAAGCATCCCTATGAAAGGAAGGAAGAAGGAAGGAAGGAAGGAAGGAAGGAAAGAAGGAGGAAGGAAAGAAGGGAGGAAGAAAGGAAGAAGGAAAGAAGGAAAGAGGGAAAGAAGGGAAGGAAAGAAGGGAGGAAGAAAGGGAGAAGGAAAGAAGGGAGGAAGAAAGGAAGAAAGAAGGACGGAAGGAAAGAGTCAAAGCATCCCTGTGAAAGGAAGGGAGGGAGGGAGGACGGAGCCAAAGCATCCCTATGAAAGGAAGGAAGAAGGAAGGAAGGAAGGAAGGAAGGAAAGAAGGGAGGAAGAAAGGAAGAAGGAAAGAAGGAAAGAGGGAAAGAAGGGAAGGAAAGAAGGGAGGAAGAAAGGAAGGGAGAAGGAAAGAAGGGAGGAAGAAAGGAAGAAAGAAGGACGGAAGGAAAGAGTCAAAGCATCCCTGTGAAAAGAAGGAAGGACGAAGGAAGGAAGGAAGGAAAGAAGGGAAGGAAGGAGGAAGGAAGGAAGGAAAGAAGGGAAGGAAGGGAGGAAGAAAGGAAGGAAGAAGGAAAGCGGGAAAGAAGGGAGGAAGAAAGAAGGAAAGAGTAGAAGCATCCCCGTGTTGGCCTTGAAGGAAGGGAGGAAGGAAGGGAGGGAGGGAGCCAGAGCCATCCCCGTGGAGGAGGCCTGGAGGCGCGGGAGCGTGACCCCTCCTCGGCGCAGGAGAGCCACTTCCGCCTTGCTCGCCTCCTCAACTTCCGGCGGGGTCGGCTTCCCGGCGTGCCGCGCGGGCGGAAGCGCCGCCATTTTTGGGGCTGCCCTGCCTGAGCGGGCTGTGGTGCTGACCATAACAAGGCTCTGGGCTGGCCTCCTGCTTGGGGAGGCGGAGAGGCCTCGCAGGGGAGACGGAGACAGCGGGGGAGAAGGAAGGAAGAGCGGGTGCCCGACCGTCCTTCTGGCTTCCCTCCCGCTTGCCTGCCCGCCCGCCCGCCTGCCTGCGGCTCATCTCGGGGGTGTTCATGTTTCCCACAGGTTTCTCTTCCGCTCAGGAGGTCAGGCCTGCCACTGATGGTAGCAGCAGCAGCAGTAGCTCCTCTTCCTCCTCCTCGTCTTCCTCCTCCTCTTCCTCCAAGAAGAGAAAGCTAAACAACAGCGAGAAGGACGAGACGGAGCCCCTCTCTTCCTCCTCTTCTTCCTCCTCCTGCTCTTCTCTCCTCCCCAGGAACCATTCCTCCTCCTCTTCTTCCTCAGCCATTGCTACCACCTCCTGCTCTTCCTCCTCCTCCTCGTCTTCCTCCAACCACCACTTGCAGAAGAAGCTCCGCTTTGAGGACTCCTTGGATTTTATTGGACTCGATGTCAAGATGGCCGAGGAGTCTTCCTCCACTTCGTCGCCGGCTTCGTCTTCCTCGTCTGCTTCCCAACAGCAGCAGCAACAACAACAACAGCTCAAAAGCAAAAGCCTCCTCCTTTCTTCCGTGGCCGCGGGACACCACGCGAACGGCCTGACCAAAGCCGCCTCGTCCAGCGTCTCCAGCTTTGCCAATAGTAAACCGGGCTCGGCCAAGAAGTTAGTCATCAAGAATTTTAAAGGTAACGCTTCTGGAAAACGGCATTCAGGGGGGAAAAACACATTTTGGAAATCGTAACTTTTGAGGAAAGCATCACCTTTCAGAGAAGAGCCAAACACGCTTTAGAGAAGTGTTTCTCAAATATTTGTTTCTAATTATTATTATTATTATTATTATTATTATTATAACTTTATTTGTACCCCACTAGCATCTCCCAAGGGATTCGATGCGGCTTACAACAGGCTGGAGCCCAACACAATACAACAATACAATACATAGCAAATAAAACAGTTAAGCAGGAAAACAATAACAGTAACAATACAACAAGACACTATTAAAACTGAGCCGGCCGAAGTAGGGGTACAGGGTTAAAAGTGCTGATGTGGCAGGTGGGATATGGGATTAAATATAAGTGCAGTGTGCAGCGATCTTGGTTCTATTAAGGTGCTTCTAGGATTTGGTGCTGGAGGTTCCTAATCTGAAAAGGCACATCGGAACAGCCAGGTTTTCAATTTCTTCCTGAAGACTGCCAATGTAGGGGCTTGTCTGAGATCTTTCGGGAGGGCGTTCCAGAGTCGGGGGGCCACCACAGAAAAGGCCCTGTCTCGCGTCCCCACCAAGCGCGCTTGCGACGCGGGCGGGATCACGAGCAGGGCGTCTCCAGATGACCGGAGTGAGCGTGTGGGTTCGTAGACAGCGATACGGTCACGCAGGTAGGGTGGTCCCAAACCGTTCAGGGCTTTGTAGGTAAGCACCTGCACCTTAAATTGGGCTCGGAAAATAAACGGCAGCCAGTGGAGCTCCTTAAATCAGTGGTTCTCAACCTTGCTAATGCCGTGACCCCTTAATGCCGTTCCATATGTTGTGGTGACCCCCAACCATAATATTGCTTTTGTTGCTACTTGATACCTGTCATTTTAGTACTGTTATAAATATCCAATATGCAGGATGTATTTTCATTCACTGGACTAAATTGAGCACAAATACCCAATATGCCCAAATGTGAATGCTAGTGGGGTTGGGGGGGGATTGATTTTGTAATTTGGGAGTTGTAGTTGCTGGGATTTATAGTTCACCTATAATCAAAGAGCATTCTGAACTCCACCGGCGATGGATTTGAACCTAATTTGCCACACAGGTTGAGAAACACTGGTGTATGTAATACAATGAAAATCTATTTTTTTAAAAAAAATTATGACCGTACAGAAAGTCATTATTTTCCAGGATACAGCATATAGAGATTGAAAAAGAATAGTGATCAACATAGCTATAATACAAAAAAAAAAAAACCTTATTATTATTGAGATTTTTGTACTGTTACCTTCTAGATCAGTGGTTCTCAACCTGTGGGTCCCCAGATGTTTTGGCCTTCAACTCCCAGAAATCCTAACAGTTAGTAAACTCACTGGGAATTCTGGGAGTTGTAGGCCAAAACACCTGGGGAGCCATAGGTTGAGAACCACTGCTCTAGAACGGGGGTCCTCAAACTAAGGCCCGGAGACTGGGCACCATGCAAACGGCCTGACCAAAGCCGCCTCATCCAGCGTCTCCAGCTTTGCCAATAGTAAACCGGGCTCGGCCAAGAAGTTAGTCATCAAGAATTTTAAAGGTAATAATAATAATAATAATAATAATAATAATACACTTTATTTATAACCCGCTACCGTCTCCCCAAAGGGAACTCAGTGCGGCTAACATGAGGCCAAGAATGCAACGTAATAAACACACAGTAACAAAATACATCATGACAAAATATAAAATAACAAAATCAACAATATAGAACAGCATATTAAAACTAGACACAGAGGGCGGGCCAAATATGTGAGGTAAAATGTTTAAAAAGTTAAAACCCTGGGTGAGATAGGGATGAAAGTGCATTTGTAGGAAAGGAGCCCAACAGGGAGGAACCATGGGATTTAGACATTTGGGGGGGGGGGGGGGGGGGGGATGCTTGGTTCTAAGGGTATCTGTACACTAAGACAACCAGATGGGTTGAATGGTCATTCTCCAAAAGAGCCAGGTTTTTAGGTCTTTCTTAAAACCAGCTAGGGTGGGGGCTTGCCTGATCTCCTTAGGCAATGAATTCCAAAAGCGGGGGGCCCCAGCAGAAAAGATAACACTTCTGGGAAAAGTCATTCAGGAAAAAATAACACCTTTTGGAGGTCATAACTTTAGAGAAAAGCATCACCTTTCAGAGACGAGCCAAACATGCTTCAGAGAAGTGTTTCTCAACCCTCAGAGGTTTTGGCCTTCAACTCCCAGGAATCCTAACAGCTGGTAAACTAGCAGGGATTTCTGGGAGTTGTAGGCCAAAACACCAGGGGATCCATAGGTTGAGAACCACTGCTCTAGAACAGGGGTCCTCAAACTAAGGCCCGGGGGCCAGATTGCTCACAGGAGGAGGATATCGAGAGCACACAACGCCCTTGCTACGCCAGCTCCACTGCCTGCCTATTAGCTTCCGAGCACAATTCAAAGTGCTGGCGCTGGCCTATAAAGCCCTTAATGGTCCTGGCCCAATGTATCTCCCACTATGAGCCACCTAGGACCTTAAGATCATCTGGGGAGGCCCTGCTCATTGTCCCCCCACCATTGCAATTGCAGTTGGTGGGGACAAGAGACAGGGCCTCCTCTGTGGTGGGCCCTCGGCTATGGAATTCCCTCCCAAGTGAAATCAGATGCGCTCCTTCCCTCCTGTCCTTCCAGAAAAAGGTGAAATCTTGGCTGTGGCATCAGACCTTTGCGAACTAGACTGACATGATGGTAGAGCTATGTTTTAATGGACCTTGAATGGACTGTGTGTAGGACAACAATGTAATTCTGGCTATTGTTCTAGAGTAGATCTTCTCATAATAATAATAATAATAATAATAATAATAATAATAATAATAATAAGGTTGCTGTGAGTTTTCTGGACTGTCTGGCCATGTTCCAGAAGCATTCTCTCCTGATATTTCACCCACATCTATGGCAGGTATCCTCAGAGGTTGTGAGGTCTGTTGGAAACTAGGCAAGTAGGGTTGTTGTAGGTTTTTTTGGGCTATATGGCCATGTTCTAGAGGCATTCTCTCAGGTGTTTCGCCTGCATCTATGGCAAGCATCCTCAGAGGTAGTGAGGTCTGTTGGAAGTAGGAAAATGGGTTTATATATCTGTGGAAAGACCAGGGTGGGACAAAGGACTCTTGTCTGCTGGAGCTAGGTGTGAACGTTTCAGCTGACTACCTTGATTAGCATTTGATAGCCTGGCAGTGCCTGGAGGGTTTATATATCTGTGGCATATCTAGGGTGGGAGTATTACAAAAACTCTAAAATCAGGACAGTAAATAAAGAACTCATAAAACAGAAGAATTCCACACCAGAATCAATAAGGGCCAGCTAACACCTCTAAACAAAGGAGTCCCCCAGGCAGGAGGCTGCCAAGCTTTGAAGCTCCATGGCCATTCAATGATAATCAAGGTGGCCAATTACAACAGTCACACTTGCCTCCAACAGACAAGAGTTTTATATAAACCTCCCTTGCCTAGTTTCCAACAGACTTCACAACCTTTGAGGATGCCTGCCGTATATGTGGGTGAAACAGCAGGAGAGAATGCTTCTGGAACATAGCCACACAGCCCGGGAAACTCACAGTAACCCAGTGATTCCAGCCATGAAAGCCTTTTACAATAATAATAATAATAATAATAATAATAATAATAAGCTTTATTTATACCCTGTCTCAGAGTGGCTTACAACACAACAAACAATACAATAAAAATACAAAAATAAGTGTATATCAATTAATAAAAACAAAATGATAGAATAATGTGAGTATAAATAGATGAACAATTTTTTAGCCATTATTAAAAGCCTGCTTGAATATCCAGGTTTTCAACTCCTTCCTAAATGTTGTAAGAGTGGGTGCTTGTCTAATTTCCCTGGAGAGGGAGTTCAAAGTCAGGGGGCCACTACCCTAGTCCCCACCAACCTCGCATGTGCAGGAGGTAGGACCAAGAGGAAGGCCTCCCTGCCTGATCTTAGGGTCCAAACAGGTTCATATGGAGAGATGTGGTCACTTAAATAGGCAGGACCCGAACTGTATAGGGATTTATAGGTAATGACCTGCACTTTGAATTGGACTCAGAAGCAGATCAGCAACCAATGGAGCTGCTTTAAAAGGTGGGGTAGTATGTTCCCTACAACCCATCCTTGTCTGGTATACAACCAGATATAATTATGCAAGACAATGGTTTCAGTTGTTAGACTGAATAACCTGTTACCTCTGATCTGTTAGGAAAATAGATTTTGCCTGTTCATAAAAACAGCAGAGTTTTAGGCTTTTCATTGCCTGTGTGTGTGTGTGCATATATATATATATATATATATACACACACACACATACTATCTCTCTCTCTCTCTCTCTCTCTCTCTCTCTCCCCCCCCCAATAAACAACTTTTGTATATCATGCACTCAAGGGACAAAAATGAAGTAGACTCAAATAAAAATAACATATTTGGTTTACTCACAACCTTCATGTGTTTAGCATACACAGATACAAAACTTACCTGCCCAGATTTAGATATTCTCAGTGCCATCCAGCCAGGGCATCTCTCTTATAACAAAACCGGTATCAATAGGTCACATAATTGGGGAGGGGGAGGATGTAGTGTGCACTCCCCCCCCCCCAAACTACAACCTCTAAGGAACCATAGAGCAAAGGAAGCTGCATACCAGAACATACATACAGGAAACAGTAAACAACAGGATCATAGATAAACCTGAATAAAATCCCATATTATCTGCTTTGAAGTGGGACATATGATGAGTTTGTATGAGATGCTGATCTTTTGTTATCTTCCAGATAAACCTAAACTGCCTGAGAATTACACAGATGAGACCTGGCAAAAACTAAAAGAAGCGGTAGAAGCTATTCAGAACAGTACTTCAATAAAGTATAATCTAGAAGAGCTCTATCAGGTACGCATTAAAACTTGTCATCTTCAGGTCCTAAGTTTTTTCTTTATTTTCCAAAATCTCAGTGATATCGTACTCTTAAATCATGTGGGAAGTGTTTGTGGTTCTGTTACCATTCAGTAGCTGAGGTACAGCCACAAATTGGACAAATGGTTACTGTGTTCACATTGATAACGATTTTGATTTCTTGTCTTGTCTTCCTGTTACAGTTATTGGTTTGCTTAGAGGGACATCATATAAAGTGTTCATATTATTATTATATCAGTTTAATGGATTTTTAATAGGACTGCTCTTTTCTCTTCTTGGTTTTACTCTGAGCCCTTTTTACATGTGCAAATTCTGTTGGAATACTTGCTTGAAGCTTTGGACCAGTTCTTCTTCAGTCTACATTAACATATATCACATTTATTTTCCAAAGTTATGTAACCTGACTACATTATCTGGAATATACATATATATATTTCCTTTAGACTTTGTAGTTGAAGGCATCTTGGTCGAAGCTTAATCATCTGTGAAATATTATGATTTACAAATAAATCTTCAGTAAGATTTCTCTGGAATCACAATATTTCGCATTCCCATTAATCCTCTGGTTAATACTTTATAATCTGATTACATATGCTTTTTTAGAATTACTTGACATTTTCCTTTGTTAAGACAGATGAGTTTTAAATTCCAGATCTTGCTTGTAAATGTCAAATGCAGTTTAATATACACACACTGTACAGAACTTCTTCAGTATGTTAAAGAATAGGATTTTCCGCCAAGCAGTAAATGGTAAAGAAATTTATGGTCTAGATTTAGTGTCTTCTGTAACACCTCTGCTTCAGCGGGAATGAGTCTCTGAAATAACTATTTAAATATTTGTTTCTAAGCCATTTCATTGTATATGTAATACAATGAAAATCTAAATTTTAAAAAGTTATGACTGTACAGAAAGTCATTATTTCCCAGGATACAACATATAGAGATTGAAAAAGAATAGTGATCAACATAGCTATAATATTAAAAAAAAACCTCTTATTATTGAGATTTTTGTACTATTACCTGCTAGATCAGTGGTTCTCAACCTGTGGGTCCCCAGATGTTTTGGCCTTTAACTCCCAGAAATCCTAACAGTTGGTAAACTGGCTGAGATTTCTGAGAGTTGTGGGACAAAACACCTGGGGACCCACAGGTTGAGAACCACTGTTCTAGGTAATCCTTTTTCCACTTTTCCTATCAAAGCAAGTGTCTAATGGCCATGTAATAACATAATAATAATAATAATAATAATAATAATAATAATAATAATACTTTATTTGTACCCCGCATCTCCCCAAGGGTCTCGGTGCAGCTTACATGAGGCCTAGCCCAAACACAACAATACAAGCAATAATAACAGCAGTACAAGCAATTAAAAAACACATAGACAATAAGATACACAACATTATCAATAAAACAACACATAATTGTAGAGGAGAGATGGGAACTACTGTATAATTTTGAGTATAAGCCCTTTTTAAGGTTGAAAAAGTCCCCCTCGGCTTATAGTTGAGTCAAAGTTATTTATCATTTTACTCTGTTATTATTATTTCATTACATTTATTATTTTACTCTTTATTATTATTACATTTATTATTTTACTCTATTATTATTACATTTGGTATTTTACCCTATTTATTATTTTTACTATTGCATTTATTATTTAATCTATTATTACATTTAATATTTTATTATTTATTGTTGTTACTTTTAAATTTATTATTTTTTTCTATTTATTATTATTATTACATTTATTTTTTTTACTCTATTATTATTGAAAGCATGTTTACATTGAAGAAGGTTAGAATAATGGTTTAATCAGAGTTGGACAGTCTTACATTAAATTACAGTTTTATGTAAATCTTCAAAAACATTGAACCTTCTGAGGCCTCAATAAATGTAATTTTATTGGGATCTATTTTTATTTTGAAATTTACTCATAGCTGTTGCATTTCCCACCCTTGGCTTATATTCGAGTCAATACGTTTTCCCAGTTTTTGGTGGTAAAATTCGGTGCCTTGGCTTATATTCGGGTCAGCTTTTGCTTGAGCATATATAGGCATGTGGGAATGATGATCCAAACCAAATGTTGTTATGATCTTTATCCACGTTTCCACTCAATTTAAACCCTTTTCAGTTGTAGATATTTGCTCACATACCATCAATAAAGTGGATTAATTATTGGAGCGTTCGGTTGATGCTCTGTTTATCCAAAGTTCAGCTGCATTTGTCCCTCAGTCTAGGGATTTACCATCCTTTCACCCTTTTAAGGTCAAGGACCTTAGGGAACCCTTGTTACTAATACGTTTTCAAAGAAAGCCCTGGGCTCGGGCTGGATATTATGAAAGCCCCGCAGCAGCATTTTCTGTTGACACTATTCTGTTTGGATCTATTTTTAGCATCTTGGGTATTAAAAATAGCTAAACTGCTAGAGAAACAAATACGAAATAAAACAGTTTTGTTTACAAGCAGCTGCCTGGTAAATAGATCTAATTCCAAATAAGCGTTCTTAGGCACCATTATCTAAATTTCTCCCACACATCTCCAGATGATTTTTACATGTCTTCATTTGATGAGCAGGAAGTTTCTTAGCCCCCTTCTACACTGCCAAATGAAATCCAGATTAACTGGACTCATATAATCCAGTTCAAAGCAGATAATATGGATTATCTGCTTTGATGATCTGGATTATATGGCAGTGTGGAAGGGGCCTTAGTATACTATTTATCCTACCTGCTGTATCCTTTTGAGGAGGAAGTGGGCATTTTGCACCTCTCGTTGCTTCAGTCTTTTTTAGTAGATTCTTGAGGTGAAATTGCACCCCTTCTACACTGCCATATAATTACATGCCGTTAGCAATTCATATGCTAATAAAGGTGGAAATCGTGCTGTTCGTCATTGCATTCCTACCAAATTTTAAATACATTTTGTATTAAGTAAAGAATCCAGTACATTATAGAAGTAGCTTTTTTTCCCCCCCTTGAACGTTTCCCACTCTCTGTTTTAGGCTGTGGAAAATCTCTGCTCCTACAAGATTTCTGCAAATTTGTACAAGCAGTTAAGACAGATTTGCGAAGATCATATCAAAGCACAGATTCATCAGTTCAGAGAATATCCTTTTGTAATTGAAATGAATTTGGCAAGCCAGCCTGTGATTTAGATTCCTGTAGGCAGTTATGGTAATCCCGTGGACAAGAGTTTCGTGGTGTTGTTATTTGTGGGTTTTCATGATGTTTGTGCCAAGTCTTTATGATGCCTGGGATTGCATAAGGCTGAATGATTCTCTGCTTTTTATGAAAGGAGCACTTGCTTGGTTACAGTAAAAGAGAAAAGAGAAAGTTGGTTAATCTGATTATGAAATGCCACTCACCACGATATGTCACAGATGCTTGAGCTGGAGTCGCGCAAGGAAAACTGGGGAGATTAAGGTTTCAGGAAGAGAGAAACCTGGAAATCCTAGAAGAAAGCCCCTCCTTGATTAACCTAGTAACTCTTCTTAGTTTACCGGTTAGGGCCAGCTGTTCTCTGTTGCTGTTGTTTCAATTGTTTTGTTAAAGCCTTAACTGCTTCCTCATGGATTCATTGGACAGCGTTCTATTTCTCAAGAAAATAGACAAATGCTGGCAAGATCATTGCAGACAAATGGTAAGGCTTCCTTCCCTTCCTATCATATTTCTATACATTTGGAACCAGAGCCGTTTGCTTCTAACATAAGTGGTGACTCCCAGTCCCTACTGGAAGTTCTGAAATATAGAGAAACCTCTGGGGCTGTTTTGTAACTCTTCAAAGTGTTGCAGAAGCAGGAGAATGAAGTCCTGTTTCCCACTGGCTTTGCATACGAAAGTACAATATAAACCTCTATACCTAATGGACCTATAATTTTTATATTTTTATATATATATATATAGAGAGAGAGAGAGAGAGAGAGGGAGAGGGAGAGAGAGAGAGGTCCATATGGATATATATATATATGGAGCATGATATTTGGTTTATAGCAGTAGTTGACTACCCACGAAAGATTACTACTACCACATCAGCTCTAGTTTTCTGTGAGTGAGCGGATGGTGACTACTGGGTGGCATATGTTCTGTATCAGAAAACTGGAGCTAATGTGGTTTATCCAATACAGCAGGGGTCCACAAACTTTTTAAACAGAGGGCCAGGTCACAGTCCCTCAAACTGTTAGAGGGCCGGATTATAATTTGAAAAAAACCCAACATAAATTCCTATGCATGCTGCACATATCTTATTTGTAGTGTAAAAAACACTTAAAAACAATACAATAATTAAAATGAGAAACAATGTTAACAAATATAAACTTATTAGTATTTCAATGGGAAATGTGGGCCTGCTTTTGGCTGATGAGATAGGATTGTTGTTGTTATGTGCTTTCAAGTCATTTCAGACTTAGGTTGACCCTGAGCGAGGGCCGGGTAAATGACCTTGGAGGGCCGCATCCGGCCCCCGGGCCTTAGTTTGAGGACCCCTACAATACAGTTTTCTGAATCAGCACCCCAAATAACCAAACCAAATCTAAAGTTGACCAAAAACTGGTTTGTAAACATTTTGGTACTAATGTTGGGAGAGTGGTCGCTGATCAAAATGGTTCCTGGTCAAGTGGTTCCTGGTCAAGTGGCCTCGGCCCAAGCCGTCCCTGGTCAATTGATACCTGTTCAAGTGGTTCCTGGTCAAGTGGCCTCAGCCCAAGTGATCCCTGGTCAAAGTGGTTCCTGGTCAAGTGGCCTTGGCCCAAGTGGTTCCTGGTCAAGTGGCCTCAGCCCAAGTGATCCCTGGTCAAGTGGTACCTGGTCAAGTGGCCTCGGCCCAAGTGGTCCCTGGTCAAAGTGGTCCCTGGTCAATTGATGCTTATTCAAGTGGTCCCTAGTCAAAGTGGCTCCTGGTCAGGTGGCCTCGACCCAAGTGGTCCCTGGTCAATTGATACCTGTTCAAGTGGTTCCTGGTCAAGTGGTACCTGGTCAAGAAGCCTTGGCCCAAGTGGTCCCTGGTCAATTGATGCCTATTCAAGTGGTCCCTGGTTTTAAAAAAAAGGTTGGGAACCACTGGTTTAAATTGTAAGTCGCTCGGAGCACTTTGGTGGAGAGCGACTAATTAAGAAATAAAGTGATGATGATGATGGTGGTGGTGGTGGTGGTGGTGGTGGTGGTGGTTTACAGCAGCCTTATTTATTTATTTATTTATTTATTTATTTGGCTTGTATACCGCCACTCCCAATTTGGCTCAGAGCAGTTTACAGCAGTAGATTAAAACAATACAGCCAACTTTAAAATACAATAAAAACGAGAACAGACATAGTCCCGAGTTATTCACCCATCGAAAGCTTGTCGGAAAAGAAAGGTCTTACAGGCTTTCCGAAAAGCAAGTAGCTCTCAGATGGTTTGGGTTTCAACTGGCAAGGCATTCCATAAATAAGGGAATGCCTTGGGAAAGATACTAGTAATTTGTGCTCAGAACCTTTTTTTATCAATCAGTTTTTATCAGTTTTTCAATCTGCTGACTACTTGTATTCATCTGTGACCATTGATGGGCATTACTGCCATGCAGCATAGCAAATCTTATCTTCTAGCAGGAAAAATAGAATCTGTAAAGCTATGCAATATAATTCAATACAGCCGTGGTTTCCTCTGGAGTGCATGTCAACAACTAAAAAACCTATTCTTGAAACAGTCGCTTATTTTGTATTTGTTCCACAAGAGAAATGGATTTGAAAGATAATTACATCCGTTCAAATTGGGAGGTGGGGGTTGGCAAGTCAGTCTGAATGTCCTGTCATATGCCTGACTTTGTAGCTGCTGTTAGTAAACATGTTAGAAAGCAAGCCCCACAACCTTTAATAATAATTCCTTCCAAATCAGTGTTGTGCCACAAGAATTATACTCTCAAGCACCTATGTTTGGATCTCAACAGTGATCTCAAGCTGGGTGCATATTGCAGACTTAGTGCTGAAAATCTGTCAAAATCTTGATGGCTTATTCTTACCATTACAGATCATGATTAGAAGTATCTTTTTGTTCCTGGATCGAACCTACGTTCTTCAAAATTCAATGCTGCCATCAATTTGGTGAGGATAAAAGTATAGTATTGATTTCAAACTGTCAAGAGAAAAAGATTAGCAGTCCCCCTCTCCCCCTTTCATATTGATCGATTGTGCGTTGTACTGTGAGTAGAGATGAATGTGAAATATATCAACTTTATTGTCTGTATATATACACACAGAAACACACACGCAACCCTTTGACTTAAAATCCTGGCTTTTTGGGAGGGTCACTATTAAAAGCTACGATTTAGCTAAAACAACAAGCCTAGGATCACTAAGAATCTGTAAAATTGGACAGTTTGTAAGAACATAAACTGGCCCTATGCTAGTCTTCTGCTTCATTTTGGCAGTTTCTGTTGTTGTTGTTTTCCAGGGATATGGGACTTGAATTGTTCAGGACTCATATAATTAGTGACCAGAAAGTTCAGAACAAGACCATCGATGGCATTCTTCTCTTGATTGAGAGGGAGAGAAACGGAGAAGCGATCGACAGGAGCCTCCTCCGCAGCCTTCTAAGCATGCTTTCTGACTTGCAGGTGAGGGAGAGTTGTGGTGAACATGTATAGGATGTCAAGGCTAAGCAGTGAGAGCGCCCTCAGAGAAACGTTCCATTTCTTTCTTCCCTAGATCTATCAGGATTCTTTTGAGCACAGATTCTTGGAAGAAACTAACCGACTCTATGCAGCAGAAGGACAGAGGCTTATGCAGGAAAGAGAGGTATGTTGTGACCTTAGGGCTCAGTAGGTGCAGTGAGCATTGTACCTCTAACTCTGGGCGCAAAACATGGTTCATTCTGTGCTGCTGAGGGCAGCTGTATGCAGCAGCATTAATTTCCAGGGAATGAGTGCCTAACTGGTTATCGCCTTAGTGGAACCATTGCAGCAGAAACAAGAGTGTCTCTCTTAAGTACCTTAAAAACTATCATACTTTGTTTGGAAAAGCAGGCGACTTCTTCAGATGCAAGTTGGGTTTGCAGTCCACAAAAATTAAGTCCACAAATAACCTTGAAGGTATTCCTTGACTCTTAGTAGTTTTAGTACTTTTTTTTCATGTCAAGAGCGACTTGAGAGACTGCAAGTCGCTTCTGGTGTGACAGAATTGGCCATCTGCAAGGACGTTGCCCAGGGGACACCCAGATGGAGCTGGAGCTGGAGCTGGAGCTGATAGAGGGAGCTCATCTGCACTCTCCCTGGATTCGAAACTGTGACTTGTCAGTCTTCAGTCCTGCCAGCACAGGGGTTTAACCCACTGCACCACCGGGGGCTCCAGTACTTTTAGTACTAATAGTATGACTTAGGAACTCACCCTTTCAGTGCAAGGGTGAAAGTCAGTTACACTTGGCAGATAACTGTTGTGTGAGTGGGCTTATTAACAAAAGACCCTCCTCATAAATGCACAGCAGAGTAGCTTAGCAGCAGTGTGACCTAGCACCAGTAGCCCAATGTGACAAAAAGAACAAAACACACAAATCAATGTTATCTCTTCCATAGGAGGCTTTTCTTTATAGCAAAATAATATGATTGCACTATTTACAAGAACAGGGTTTCCACAACACAAACAAAGTTCTTTATACTTCCTTCTTTGCTTCCACGCTGGGCTTCTTTCTCATGCAGATAAACAGCTTCGCTCTCACAGAGCCTCCTCTCACAGTGAATTTACACAGGAGCTTCACACAGTAGCCTTTTATACACAGCAGCCTTCACACTGGAGCTTCACACATGAGGCCTTCAATCTGGTGCTTCTTCTCACCGAAGCCAGACCTTCATCATACTCAGCCTTCTCAAAGACTAAGGCCTACCTCACACAGAGGCTTCTCTCACAGACTGAGAGCTTTCTCCCACTGAGGTTTGCCTTTTTACACACAGCAGCCTTCACACACCATGGCCTTCAACCTAGGGCTTCTCTCATCGAAGCTTCTCACACACCAGGCCTACCTCACACTGATACCTTTCTCCCACTGAGGCCCTCTCACACTGAGAGCTCTCTCAGACTACCGCCTCTCACTGAGCCCTCTCACACTGAGGGGTATCTCAGACTGTGGCCTCTCACATACAGAGGCAAACAAATACTGAGGCCTTCTCATACAGAGGCAAACTAACCCTGAGGCCTACTCATACTGTGGCCTACTAACACACTGAGGCCCTTTTCCCACAGAGACCTCTCACAGACTGAGGCAACTATGCTACAGGCACAAAAACTATTTATCTTGTGAACTGCAGCTTTTGCTGAGTCATTGCATCCATGTAACCCTTTCAGTGCTTGACTCACAGTTTTGTAATTAAAAATACCTGGTTAATTTATAATATTTCTGACAATAACTGTGTTCTCTTGGTGAACTTTTCCCCCTCAATTTATCTCATGTGCCAGGTTCCAGAGTATCTTCATCATGTCAACAAACGTTTGGAAGAAGAGGCAGACAGGATTATCACATACTTGGATCAAAGCACTCAGTAAGTGTGTGGTCCCTTTTAATTAAGTGATTACATCTCTTTATAGTACTTCTCTAGTTTCAGGGTTGTTGTTTTTTGCCAGGGTAGGCCAATTCCATAGAAAGAAGCAATAGTGTAAACATTAAATGACCTTACCTGCCAATCTACATAAGAGAAATAGGGTGCAACGCTTAAGACCCTGAAAAGGTCAGTTGCCCCTCCTGGAGGCTACTAAAAGGCATGGATTAACACTATGTAACACAAGTTTGGTTCCTGGGTTATAAATGTCATTTCCTAAGTGGCCTGACTCCACTGCTCCGTCCCCTATGAGCTCCTCCCTTACAAATATACTTCTTTCATTATTGTCTCATCCAGAGTTTTATCATTTTATGTCGTACATTTGGCCCGCCCACTGTGTTTGATTTTTCACTTTGCTATTTTGCACTGTTTTATTTTACTTGTATGTTTTACTTAATTTATTGTGATGTTATTTTTTCCATTTTGTATTTATTTTGCTGTAATGTATTACCGGGCTTGGCCTCATGTAAGCCGCTCCAAGTCCCCTCTGGAGAGATGGTGGCGGGGTATAAATAAAGTTTTATTATTATTATTATTATTATTATTATTATTATTATTATTATTATTATTATATCATAAAAACAGGGAAAGGGTTTATTACACTGCCAAAACTTTGCTTTTGCAGGAGGGACATCCTGTAGCACAATTTGCTCTAGTTTTTCAATGATTATCTCTAGACTCGAAACCAGGCCTGGGCAAACTTTGGCCCTCCAGATGTTTTGGATTTCAGCTTCCACAACCCCTAACTTAAGCGGCTGAGAGGGGAAAGGAAGAGGCCTGAGGCTGTTAGGAGTTGTGTGAGTTGAAATCCAAAACACCTGAAGAGTCAAAGTTTGCAAATGCCTGATCTAAACCAATTCAACATAGTTGTAGATTTTCCAGGCTGTTTGGCCATGTTCTAGAAGCATTCTCTCCTGACGTTTCACCTTCATCTATGGCAAGCATCTTCAGAGGTTGTGAGACCTCACAACCTCTGAGGATGCTTGTCATAGATGCAGGTGAAACGTCAGGAGAGAATGCTCCTAGAACATGGCCATACAGCCCGAAAAACCCACAACAACCCAGTGATTCCAGCCATGAAAGCCTTCGACAATTCAACAGAGTTTGTGGCAGCCACAAAACTAAAGTTTCTGGAGTAGAACAACTATTTTCAAAGTAGGGAACCGCACAATTAAAAAGGAAAGAGCACTTTCATACCAGGCTTTCTTTTTTTTCAAATTTTGTTGTGATTTATTGCCCATTACAGACCCTATCCTCTAAAACATCCTGTAAATTGAAACTGAACTTGGATTTACAACCACTTTGCACATGATTTGGGGGTTCCGCGGCCTAGTAGGGACAAAATTGGGCCCCTACATGCATTCTCTTTCCCTACCTCTAGACCAATGTTTCTCAACCTTCCTCATGGTGTGACCCCTTAATACAGTTCCTCATGTTGTGGTGACCCCCAACCATAACATTATTTCCGTTGCTACTTCAGAGCTGTCATTTTGCTCCTGTTATGAATCGTAATGTAAATATCTGATAAGCAGGATGTATTTTCATTCACTAGACCACATTTGGCACAAATACCCAATATGCCTAAATTTGAATACTGTTGGGGTTGGGAGGGTTGATTTTGTAATTTGGGAGTTGTAGATGCTAGGATTTATAGTTCACCTACCATCAAAGAGCATTTTGAACTCCACCAATGATGGAATTGAACCAAACGTGGCACACAGAACTCCCATGACCAACGGAAAATACTGGAAGGGTTTGGTGGGCACTGACCTTGGGTTTTGGAGTTGTAGTTCACCTACATCTAGCAAGCACTGTGGACTCAAGCAATGATGGATCTGGACCAAACTCTGCACAAATACTCAACATGCCCAAATGTGAACACTGGTGGAGTTTGGGAAAATAGACCTTGCCATTTGGGAATTGTAGTTGCTGGGATTTATAGTTCACCTACAATCAAAGAGCATTTTGAACTCCACCAATGATGGAATTGAACCAAACTTGGCACACAGAGCTCCCATGAGCAACGGAAAATACTGGAAGGGTTTGGTGGGCACTGACCTTGAGTTTTGGAGTTGTAGTTCACCTACATCCAGAGAACACTGTGGACTCAAGCAATGATGGATCTGGACCAAACTCGGCACAAATACTCAATATGCCCAAATGTGAACACTGGTGGAGTTTGGGGGAAATAGATCTTGACATTTGGGAATTGTAGTTGCTGGGATTTATCGTTCACCTACAATCAAAGAACATTTTGAACCCCACCAACGTTAAAATTGGGACAAACTTCCCACACTGAACCCCCTTGATCAACAGAAAATACTGTGTTTTCCGATGGACTTTGATGACCCCCCTGACACCCCCTCACGACCCCCGCCCAGGGGTCCCGACCCCCAGGTTGAGAAATGCTGCTCTAGACTTTTATTCCTGCTTTTTCAAAGGAGTCAGGAAAAAAAGCCAGAATTTTCATTTAAAATGCTGTGGATCTTTTATATGCACCAGGCGGTCTCATTTACTGTATGAAACCTCATTCTTCCTGCTGTTCCAGTTGGGTTTTTGAGTGGTTTGAGGGTGAGCAAAAGGAATGTAATTCTAAACGCTTTTTCCTATAGGAAACCACTAATTGCTACTGTAGAAAAACAGCTGCTAGGTGAACATTTAACAGCCATTCTACAGAAAGGTAACCTATCTTTCTTTATAGAACTCTTTGTTTACTGCTTCTTCGGGGCTTTCAGTTCCCTGGGCCGGATGGAAATGGCCCGGTCAGGTGCTGCCTCTTCTTTAACCCCCTTTGCATACTCAGTTCATGAAATAGCACTGAACGTTGTCCGGGAGGGGGAGCCGCACGTCCCGTTCTCCTCCTTGGAGGTAAGGAGCCAACTCTCATGCCATCCGATGAATCTCAGCATGCAAACGAATGTTGCTAAGGTCCGCAAATACGAACGGAGGGTGTCTGATAAACATGTCCTTGAAACAGGAGTGCTGTTTCAAGGCATAGCGTTTGACAAATCAGTATTCTACAGGGAGCAAGCACTTTGCTTTCTTGTCTTTAACTGTATAGTACTTCCTTTTGTGCTTCATCTCACAGTACCTTTTTCACAATGATTTTCACAAGGAGACAATGATAGCTGCCACTCCTAAGGGGCTATAAATATATATATTTTTATAAATAATTTTTATTGAGAAAAGATGTTCCAAAAAATAAGAGCAGAACAGAATGAGAAAATGAGGATTACTAATAAAAGAAACCCCTAATTAAACCCCAAAATTTGAAATAAAAAAAGAAAAGAAAATTATAAAATACATCGAAAGAAGGGCTATAAATATGAGAGGTGCGCGGAGCGGCTGAAATCTGATTTGTAATTCATTTTAGAGATTCAGATAGCACCCTCTTCATTTTGTCAAGATTTGGAGGGCCCCTGTTTCATTTCTTAATCCAAATCTCTGAAGCTTCTTGATTGCTCTGCCCCGGAGTGTGGTGGAGGTTCCTTCTTTGGAAGCTTTTAAGCAGAGGCTGGATGGCCATCTGTAAGGGGTGATTTGAATGCAATATTCCTGCTTCTTGGCAGAATGGGGTTGGACTGGATTATGGCCCATGAGGTCTCTTCCAACTCTTTGATTCTATGATTCTATGTTTCATTAAGATTTGTTCCATTAGTGGCAATGGAACAGATTTAATTCATTTTAAATGACCATGTGGCATAATTGCTGGCATTGAACCTTTCCAAAGGCAGTTCACCTGCTTGAAATGCTATTGTCATATTTCTTCAGCCCCAATACGGTCCATACTGGGCTATACTGGGCCCATAGCCCTTGCTGGGTGAGTGGGGTTATTGATAAAAGACCCTCCTCATAACCTTGAAGGTATTCCTTGACTCTTAAGTCTTTTTAGTACTAATACTATGACTTAGGAACTCACCCCTTCAGTGCATTTTAAATGACCATGTGGCATAATTCCTGTCATGGAACCTTTCCAAAGGCCGCCCACTTGCTTGAAATGCCATTGCCATATTTCTTCAGCCTCAATACTGTCCATACTGGGCTATACTGGGCTCATAACCCTTGTTGGCTGAGTGGGGTTGTTGACAAAAGACCCTCCTCATAACCTTGAAGGTATTCCTTGACTCTTAAGTATTTTTAGTACTAATACTATGACTTAGGAACTGACCCCTTCAGTGCATTTTAAATGACCATGTGGCATAATTCCTGGCATTCAACCTTTGAGAAGGTGGTCCACTTGCTTGAAATTCCATTGCCATATTTCTTCAGCCTCAATATGGTCTGTACTGCTCTAGACTGGGCTATAGGTAAAGGTAAAGGTTTTCCCCAAACATTAAGTCTGGGGTTTAGTGCTCATCTCAGTTTCTAAGCTGAAGAGCCAGCATTGTCCATAGACACCTCCAAGGTCACATGGCCATAGGCATGACTGCATGGAGCGCCGTTCCCTTTCTGCCGGAGCAGTACCTATTGATCTACTCACATTTGCATGTTTTCGAACTGCTAGGTTGGCAAAAGCTCGGGCTAACAGCAGGAGCTCACCCTGCTCCCCGGATTCGAACTGGCGACTTTTCAGTCAGCAAGTTCAACAGCTCAGTTGTTTGACCCACTGCGCCACTGGGGGCTCCTACTGGGTTATACTGGGCCCATAACCCTTGTTGGGTAAATGGGCTTATTAACAAAAGACCCTCCTATACGTATAGCGGAGTAACCTATTAGCAGCAGCGTGAGCCAGCACCAGTAGCCTAAAATGATGAAAAGAACAAAAACACACAGACCAATAATATAATGTGGTTGCACTATTTACAAAAACAAGCTTTCCATCACACAATGTTCTTTATACTTCCTTATACCTGTTTTCAAAACCTAAATAAAATGCGTCCTAATCTTGCAGGTTTAAATCATCTCCTGGATGAAAACCGAATTCAAGATTTATCGCTACTATATCAGTTGTTCAGTAGAGTGAAAAATGGCGTGCAAGCTCTTTTGCAGCAGTGGATCGAATATATAAAGGTACTAGTGCATTACTTAATTTTGGGGGAGACGTTTTAAATATATTGGGGCAGGAAAACGTGTGGATAGGAAGACATATGTATCCCAAAAGAGAATGTTCCAGTTGATTTCATATTCTGATTCCAGAAAATAATTATAAATTCAATCCCTGTCTATCTCTTTCCCCAAATGTTACCATTTGTAATGTTTTTACTGTTACTCTACCTTTCCTTTTTCAAATATAAAGAGTCAAAGGTGCTCTAAAATTGATCATGTCGGCCTTCACAAGGTTGAAGAAAAAGTTGCCTTTGGCACATACATTGGTTTGATCTTCAAACATTATTATTGAAAATGTTGTGGTAACATATTACAGAGTTTTGAGAATTTGATTTTTTTTTTTTTTTTTTTTTTTGCATTTGGCATCTAGAGACTATTTTTTTCTCTGTGTTGTTTTGCTCCTGGGTGTAAAATATCAAAAGAATGATATGACGTTGGTAACTATTTTCATGGGCTTGGCCCCTATTTAAAACTTGTGACCTGTGTACTCACAAAGCTGTATGCTGTTCATTTAAGTTTTCTGAGGTATCAACCTTATTGCATTGGAACAGTGTTTCCCAACCCGTGGTCCATGAACCAGTGGTTCACAAGGACTGAAAGATGGTCTTCACCATTACTACACCATTCCAACGAGAGCAACTGGTCTTTTGAAACCCTCTTATAGTGCTGAGACTTATTAAGTATGGTTTTCTGTGGGCGAGTAGATGGCAACTACTGGATGATTTGTGTTGTGTATCAAAAACTAGAGCTGATGTGATCTATCCAATGCCATTTTCTGAATCAGCACCTCAAATAACCAAACTGAATTTAAAGTTGACCAAAAACTGATTCATAACCCTTTTGGTACTAATGTTGGAGAGTGGTCCCTGGACAAAGTGGTTCATGGTCTAAGTGGTCCCTGGACATTATGGTCCCTGGTCAAGTGGTCCCTGGTCTAAGTGGTCCCTTGACAAAGTTGTCCCTGATCAAGTAGTCCCTGGTCTAAGTGGTTCCTGGTCTAAGTGGTCCCTGGAAAAAATGGTCCCTGGTCTAAGTGGTTCCTAGTCCAAGTGGTCCCTGGTCAAGTGGTCCCTGGACAAAATGATCCCTGGTCTAAGTGGTCCCTTGACAAAGTGGCCCTGGTCTAAGTGGTCCCTGGTCCAAGTGGTCCCTTGACAAAATGGTCCCTAGTCAAGTGGTCCCTGGTCTAAGTGGTCCCTTGACAAAGTGGTCCCTGATCCAAGTGGTCCCTGGTCAAAGTGGTCCCTGGTCTAAGTGGTTCCTGGTGCAAGTGGTTCCTGGTGCAAGTGTTCCCTGGTCAAAAAAAGGATGGGAACCACTGCTTTAGAAGTTATATTTCTATTTTTCCAGGCATTTGGCAGCACGATTGTGATTAATCCGGAGAAAGACAAAACAATGGTCCAAGAGCTACTAGACTTCAAAGATAAAGTTGACCATATAATTGACGTTTGCTTTTTGAAGAATGAGAAATTTGTCAATGCCATGAAAGAAGCCTTTGAAACCTTCATCAACAAAAGACCAAATAAGCCTGCTGAACTCATAGGTATGCATTTCGTTATGGCAGTCTTTCCCAGATGGGGTCTCCAGTAGAACCATACCTGTAGCAAAATTTGAAAAAAAAATCTGTTCCTGGTTTGAAAGTGTTATTTCCTGTTTAATTCTGCAGTCCTTACTTTGGAAGTAGTTGCTCTACGCCAGGAACTTTGTTTTTGTGCCTACCACAAACTAGGTTAAATTGGTTGGGACTCAGTGATGAAAAACTATAGCAAAATGCGTTGCAAGATGTCTGCAAAAACAAAGTTTTTGCAGTTTAATAAACTTTTCCGATGTTTTTCTGATAGAACCAATTAGGAAATGACATTGAGAACCCAGGAATAATAGTGTTACATAGTGCAATTCCGTTTGCATGATGCAGCTTTGCATGCTCATTATCTGAATCTGAATTGGGCCTAGCCCAAAGCAAAGCATTTAGGAGCAAGGAAGAGAACTAGACGAAGAGTTGTCTCCTTTGTTTATTAAAAATAGAATGGAGTACAAGGCTGGCCTAATGTGTAATATGCTGTTGAAGACATACATGTATGAATCCCATGATTTCCTTTCTGTTTTGTCTCCCTCGCTGCCCCAAAGCTAAGTACGTGGATTCAAAGCTTCGTGCTGGAAACAAAGAAGCTACCGACGAAGAGCTTGAAAAGATGCTGGATAAAATTATGATTATATTTAGGTTTATCTATGGTAAGAGCCGGACTTTCACCGTCACGTTACACAGCCGCAATGTGAGCAAAATTAGTTTCAGCCAAGCACAGTCATTTTAATTTGTCATTGGCGCTCTCCTTTTTGCTGACATGTGGGTTATTTGCTCTTAACATGGGTTATTTAAATCTTTATTGTTGTTATTATTATTATAAACACAACAAGATGAGTCCACAGCAGACACTCTGCTGGCCATTGAATTGGATCACATGTTGGACACTTCCCAAGTGTCTAGGACTCTGTGATGTATCGGCGAATAATGCGTGCAGATCCCAGTAAGGTGACCTTCTGCAGCTGGCAGGTGGTAATTTTGTCAGTGCCAATTGTGTTTAAGTACAGGCCAAGGTCGTGAGGCACTGCACCCAGTGTGCCCATCACCACTGGGACCCCCTTGTCTGGCTTGTGCCAGAGTCTTTGCAGTTTGATCTTTAAATCCTCATATCGTGTCAGCTTTTCCAGTTGTTTCTCTGCAATCCTGCAGTCACCTGGGATTGTGACATCAACAATCCATACTTTGTTTTTTTAACACGATTGTGGGGTCAGGAGTATTATGCTCCAAAACTCTGTCTGTCTGAATCCGGAAGTCCCAGAGGAGTTTGGCGTGTTCATTCTCTGTAACTCTTTGCGGCACAAGTTCCAATGAATCATCTGAGCAATGGTGTTGTGCCTCTGCTTGTAGTCTGTCTGCACAATCTTCTTGTTGTTATTATTATTATTTATTCAGATAACATGCATTATTTAACTTATCTTAACCCACCAGAACCCCTTGGTACTGGGAATGGCAAAGTGGCGACTCTCGTGCCTGTTCATATTGCATATTTGTGATAAAGGTAGTTGTAATATGACAACATATTCCCTGGCCCTGTTATAGGCCCATATTTCTCTGGAATTGGCAAACTAGCAGGAAGGAAAATGTGTGTCATCCACACCAGACGAGCAGCTAATTCTATCAGGAAACTATTTGCTCTTCGTGTTGTCGAAGGCTTTCATGGCTAGAATCACTGGGTTGCGGTGAGTTTTTCGGGCTGTATGGTCATGTTCTAGAAGCATTCTCTCCTGATGTTTCACCCACATCTATGGCAGGCATCCTCAGAGGTTGAGGGGTCTGTTGGAAACTGAGTAACTGCAAGGCCATTAAATGCTAATCAGGGTAGCAAATTGATTTATTTATTTACAACATTTATATGTTGCCCTTCTAACCCTGAAGGGGACTCAGAGGGGGTTACAAAATATATATGCATACAATATAAGTACAGTATCAGTATTAAATATTACTATATTGTACGTACCATTATATTTTAATATTATTAGTCATATAAATATATAATTATAATATATTATTATTAGTATTATATTGCATTGCATTATAATATTATAAATATTATATGTATATACAATATATTATATTACATTATATTATGTTATTAGAATAGCACAGTTTGCTATTCTAAACAGTCACAAATTGCAACAGTCACTCATGCCACAAGCACGAGTGACCCTGTCCTATCCTGGACAGTCTTTCTCCCACCCTGGACAGTCCACAGAAATATAAAACTCACTTACTCAGTTTCCAACAGAACCCTCAACCTCTGAGGATGCCTGCCATAGATGTGGGTGAAATGTCAGGAGAGAATGCTTCTGGAACATGGCCAGACAGCCTGGAAAACTCCTTCTGGTTGGGGGTGTTATTGGGTTTCCTGTAAGGTGGCTTCATATAACAATTGCAGTTGAGCTTTGCCATAATTAGGCTTTTTATAAAAACCAGTCTTCTCTCCTCTACAGGGAAAGATGTTTTCGAAGCCTTTTACAAAAAAGATCTAGCAAAGCGGCTACTAGTGGGCAAAAGTGCCTCCGTCGATGCTGAGAAATCCATGCTGTCGAAACTCAAACACGGTAAGGTTTGTTGGGTTGTTGAAAGTTTTTTGGGCTGTCTGGCCATGTTCCAGAAGCATTCTCTCCTGACGTTTCTCCCACATCTGTAGCAAGCATCCTCAGAGGTTGCGAGGTCTGTTGGAAACTAGGCAAGTGGAGTTTATATATCTGTGGAATTATGTTCAGAATGGGAGAAAGAAGTCTTGTGTGCTTGAGGCAAGTGTGAATGTTGCCAATGGCCACCTTGATTAGCATTTAATGGCCTAGCAGTTTCCGGGTGTGCCTGGGGGAATCCTTTGTTGGGAGGTGATTAGCTGTCCTCGACTGTTTCTTGTCTGGAGTTCCCCTGTTTTTGAGTGTTGTTCTTTATTTACTGTTATGATTTTAGAGGGTTTTTTTAAATACTGGTAGCCAGATTTTGTTCATTTTCATGGTTTTTTTCTTTCTGTTAAAAAGTTTGTTGTTTGATCCTGGGTGCCTTTACTGTGTAGATACGTGTGTACATACACCTTTAGCCAGTCCTGAAATATAAGCCCTCAAATATTCCTTACTCATTATGCTACATTTTTTCCTGCAAGAGGATTAAACTTGTGTAGGAAAAAAAGGGGAATTTCTAATCGATCCTTGCAAAATCTCCAGAATTTTCTTTTGAAAGGGATTGCTGTTTGTATCAACAAATTGCTGTTTGAAGAATTATGCAGATTGTATAATTGGTTGCTAGTGGATAGGGGACTGCTGCCTCCCAAATCTGTACTAACATGTTGTGCAGGTCTAGAGTTCACCAGGTGTTGACGAATCTCGATAATTTGGCCGATGTTGTTTTCGCTTCAGTCGGAATCCTAATGTAGCCTTATTTATTTATTTATTATCATGTTTTGTTGATGACACACACTCTAAACCAGGCCTGGGCAAACTTGGGCCCTCCAGGTGTTTTGGACTCCAACTCCCACAATTCCTAACAGCCTACCGGCTGTTGGGAATTGTGGGAGTTGGAGTCCAAAACACCTGGAGGGCCCAAGTTTGCCCAGGCCTGCTCTGAACCTTCTCTTGGTGACGTAAATCTGAGTGAAATTTCAATACAACTATTGTTTTATAGAATGTGGAGCTGCTTTTACCAGCAAACTTGAAGGAATGTTTAAAGACATGGAGCTTTCGAAAGACATCATGATACAGTTTAAACAGGTACGGGCACAACGTCTACTGTTATTGTTCCATTCCCATGCCACTTCTGCATGATCCTCCAGCTAAATCTGATTCATATCAGCCTGAGCTTCCTTGGAAACAAGCAGAATATAACCAGGGAAGGGGTAAATAATGAAATAATGCCATTATTATTATTATTATTATTATTATTATTATTATTATTATTTGAAACACAACAAGATGAGTTCACAGCAGAATTATTATTATTATTATTACTACTACTACTACTACTACTACTACTACTACTACTACTACCCATCCCCTGCCATGCGTTACTGTGGTCCAGTTGGTGTATATGTGTTTTGTGTGTGTGTGTATATGTGTGTGTATATGTGTATGTGTGTGTTTGCTTATATATATGTATGTGTGTGTGTGGTTTTGTGCATGCGTTGCAGTGTGTGTGTATATATATAAATGTAATGTTTGTTTGTTGGATTAACATAACTCAAAAACTACTGAAAAACACAGCAGAAGAGATTTTAAAAGCAAAAAATAAAATAAAAATACATTATAATGCATGCACAAAACCACATATATATGCACAGATATACATATATACACACAAAAAACACATATACACAGACCACATATACACGGGCCACAGCAACAGATAGAGCAACACGTGGCAGGGGACAGCTTTATATATGTGTGTGTGTGTGTGTGTGTGTGTGTGTGTGTGTGTGTGTGTATATATATATAAAAGCCGTCCCCTGCCACGTATTGCTCTATCTGTTGCTGTGACCCAGTCTGTGTATATGTGTTTTGTGTGTGTGTGTGTGTATATATATATATATATATATATATATATATATATATATATATGCGTATATATGTGGTTTTGTGCAAGCCTATATATATAGGCTTTTTAAGTCTCTTCTACTGTGTTTTTCAGTATTTTTATGTGTGGTGGTCACTTGTTGGCCTGATAGGTGTATTGTGTCCAAATTTGGTGTCCATTCGTCCAGTGGTTTTTGAGTTATGTTAATCCCACAAACAAACATTACCTTTTTATTTATATAGATTATTATTGTTATTACTATTATTGCACTATGTAACAAAATCTGGGTGGGGGGGGGAATCTCTTTCTGGTTTGAAAGTGTTATTTCCTGTTTAATTGTGCAGTCCTGACTTTGGAAGTTGTTGTTCTACTCCAGAAACTTCGCTTTTGTAGCTGCAATTTTTAACCTTTTGTGCTGAACGCAAAAAACATTTTTTTCTGCAGTTTAATAAACTTTTCCCATTTTTTTATGATACAACCAATTTGGCGATGACATTGATAACCCAGGAACAAAATACATAGTGTTATATAGTGCTATGTTTATTTATACTAAGGGGCTGTGGTAGCACAGCAGGTTAAGCTGCTAGATGCAGCAAATCTGCTGACCAGATGGTTGCGAGTTGGGGTGAACTCCCAGCTTTCAGCCCTAGCTTCTGCCAACCTAGCAGTTCAAAAGCATGCAATACGAGTAGACCAGTAGGTACCACTTTGGCAGAAAGGTAAAAAGGATGCCGCATGTAGACATGCCAGCAAAACACAATCAGGGATGTATATAAACAACAGGCTCCTTGGCATGGAAAATGGAAGCAGAGCACTTCCCCATGGCTGGAGTTGAGCATTGTCTCCAGACACCAGAGATGGAAAAAAGGGGAAGGCCTTTACTTTTGTCTGTGTTGTATGTGGTTGTTTGCTGTGTGTGTAAAAAGCCATTGAATGTTTTGCCTCATATGTTTATATTCTAATCCTCTCTGAGTTCCTCCGGGGAGACAAAGCAGAATATAAACAAATGGATGGCGCGGTTACAAAAAAAAGCCAATGGGATTTTGGCCTGCATCAAGAGGAGCCTAGTGTCTAGATCTAGGGAAGTCATGCTCCCCATGCTCTATTCCCTTGGTTAGACCACACCTGGAATATTGTGTCCAATTCTGGGCACCACAATTCAAGAGAGAGATTGACAAGCTGGAATGTGTCCAGAGGAGGGCGACTAAAATGATCAAGGGTCTGGAGAACAAGCCCTATGAGGAGCGGCTTAAGGAGCTGGGCATGTTTAGCCTGAAGAAGAGAAGGCTGAGAGGAGATATGATAGCCATGTATAAATAGGTGAGAGGAAGCCACAGGGAGGAGGAGGGAGCAAGCTTGTTTTCTGCTTCCCTGGAGACTAGGACGCAATGGAACAATGGCTTCAAACTACAAGAGAGGAGATTCCATCTGAACATGAGGAAGAACTTCCTGACTGAGAGCCGTTCAGCAGTGGAACTCTCTGCCCCAGAGTGTGGTGGAGGCTCCTTCTTTGGAGGCTTTTAAACAGGCTGGATGGCCATCTGTCAGGGGTGATTTGAATGCAATATTCCTGCTTCTTGGCAGAATGGGGTTGGACTGGATGGCCCATGAGGTCTCTTCCAACCCTTTGATTCTATGATTCTATGATTCTACATTGTAATGTATTTAAATTATATTATTATGTAACCCCTGCCACGTGTTGCTGTGGCCCAGTCTGTGCATATGTGTTTTATGTGTGTATATATATATGTGTGTGTGCGTGTGTTTACATATGTGGTTTTGCACATGCGTTGTATTTTTCATTTTACGGCTCTTTAAGTCCCTTCTGCTGTGCTTTTCAGTATTTTTATGAGTGATGGTCACTTGTTGCCCTGAGAGGTGTCTTGTGTCCAAATTTGGTGTCAATTTGCCCTGTGGTTTTTGAGTTAATCGCACAAACAAACACGACATTTTTATTTATATAGATTTTAATTCTGGTTATTTGTGCGATATGTAAGCCGCCTTGAGTCCTCTTCGGGGTAGAGAAGGTGGGATATAAATAAAGTAAATAAATAAATAAACAACATGTATTTATACCCCCCCCTTTTTTTTTTTCTCTCTCTCTCCAAAGTTTTCAACACAATTCAAAATCCAGAAATAACACTAACATTAAAATAGATTTAAACATCAATAGTATCCATTAAAAATTAACAGTTAAAATCCATAAAACTGATTAAAATCCTATTCAAAGCTAAAGCTGTAGCTTGTTTGCGTCTCTGTATGATCATTTCCTTTGTCTCTGATTCTGCTTTGCAGTATATGCAAAACCAGAATGTACCTGGCAACATTGAACTCACCGTGAATATCTTGACAATGGGCTACTGGCCAACCTACGTGCCTATGGAAGTTCACCTGCCAGCAGAGGTAAGACAGATGTACAGCAGCTTCATAGCCACCTCCTTGTTCTGTTCCTGGTTTGAAAGTGTTATTTCCTGTTTAATTCTGCAGTCCTTATTTGGAAAGTAGTTATTCTACTCCAGAAACTTCATTCTTGTGGCTGTTGCTTGAGATAGTAATTGAAAAACAAGAGCAAAATGTGCTGCAGGTTGATGTCCCATCCACAAAGACAAAGTTTTGGCAGTTTAATCAACCTTTCCCCATGTCTTTATGATAGAAACAATTAGGAAATGACATTTATAACCTGGGGGGGGGGGGGGGAATTGTGTTACATAGTGGAATCAAACACAAGTGTGCCTTCACTGAATGAATGAACAATAATTCCCTGATCTGACCAATTCCTGCAAATGCCCTCGGAAGCACTTTATTTCACCTTTTAGTGCAATCAAACCCTATATAACCCTCCGGACCCCCTGTCCAGATACATTGCACTGCCGTCTCGCCCAGTGTTTTTAATATTTTAATCTATTACATTGGCCCTGTCCAATCTGTGTTTTAAATGTTGCGATTTTATAGTGTTAATGTGTTATTTATAATGGTTTTTGAATTGTATTTTTTTTATTTACATTTTATTGCTGTATTCTGTTTATACTGATGTATTGTTTTGCTGGGCTTGGCCTCATGTAAGCCGCCCCGAGTCCCCTTTGGGGAAATGGTGGTGTATAAATAAAGTTAAAATATTAAAATAATATTTTAATAATAAAAAGAGGATAAATTTGCCCTTCCAATCATAGGATCATCATCCAGTCTTTTTAACTAATGGTTATAGCCACATTTTAGTGATTCTATGTAATAGTGCTTGCTTTTGTTAATTTTATATATATGGTTTTATTTAAACATATTGATTTTCTATGTTGATGTATCACATTTTGTGTGTGTATGGCACCACTGTGTGCTATTTTGTAAGCCATCCCAAGTCCCTATGGGAGATGATGGCGGTGTATAAATAAATTCTGTTTATTATTATTATTATTATTATTATTGATACAAAAGCACAGTATGTCACAACAAACGAGATCGATATGCTGGATTTCGTATCACAAAATCACAAGTCAAACACTTCCTATTATTATTATTATTATTATTATTATTATTATTATTATTATTAAGTGATTGCGTGGAAATGCCCGAAAATGCACTATAAAACTATTCAAATGGAGACAGAAGTCGAACATAGGGAAGAAAATGACAAGTGGTTTATATGTTTGAAACCAAGTTCCTTTTCTCTCTCCTCTTTAGATGGTCAAGCTCCAGGAGATCTTTAAAACATTTTATCTAGGAAAACACAGTGGCAGAAAACTTCAGTGGCAATCAACATTAGGACACTGTGTACTCAAAGCAGAATTTAAAGAGGTAAGGTGTGCTTTCTTGGTTGGTTTTTCACAAGTAGATTTGCAGCCGTCTGCTGGACTCTGCGTACAGATATTTTCTTTGTATAGTTGTGCTTCACATATTCAGAGTCACAACATCCATGTATTTTGCATTATTTTATTATATTCTTATATTTTATTTATTTTATTACAATGTTTGTTTTGTGTTTTGGTTTCATTTTGTTGTAATGCATTTCTGGGCTTGGTCTCATGTAAGCCGCCCCGAGATGGTATAAATAAAGTTTATTATTATTAGAAACACAACAAGATGAGTCCACAGCAAACCTGGTCATTCTGCTGTCTAATGTATTGGATCACACGTCGGATACTTCCCAAGTGTCTGGGACTATGTGATTTATTATTATTATTATTATTATTATTATTATTATTATTATTATTATTATTATTATTATTATTATTGGAAACACAACAAGATGAGTCCACAGCAAACATGGTCACTCTGCTGGCTGTTGTATTGGATCACACGTTGGACACTTCCCAAGTGTCTAGGACCACGTGATGTATCGGCGAATAATGCGTGCAGATCCCAGTAAGGTGGCCTTTTGCAGCTGGCAGATGGTAATCTTGTCAGCGCCGATTGTGTTTAAGTACAGGCCAAGGTCTTTAGGCACTGCGCCCAGTGTGCCAATCACCACTGGGACCCCATTGACTGGCTTGTGCCAGAGTCTTTGCAGTTCGATTTTTAAATCCTCGTATCATGTCAGCTTTTCCAGTTGTTTCTCTTCAATCCTGCTGTCATCTGGGATTGCAACATCCACAATCCATACTTTGTTTTTTAACACGATCGTGAGGTCAGGAGTCTTGTGCTCCAAAACTCTGTCTGTCTGAATCCGGAAGTCCCAGAGGAGTTTGGCGTGTTCATTCCCTGTAACTTTTTTCCAGCTTGTGATCCCACCAGTTCTTTGTCGCAGGCAGATGGTCTTTGAGCACAAATTCCAATGAATCATCTGAGCAAGGGTGTTGTGCCTCTGCTTGGAGTCTGTCTGTGCAACTGCATAACGGTGTTATGCCTCTGTTTGTAGTCTGCTGCGCAACGGTGTAGTCTGTCTGCGCAACTGCATAATGGTGTTATGCCTCTGCTTGTAGTCTGTCTGCGCAATCTTCTTGCAGCAGCTGAGGAAACAACAAAAATTTATTGTTTACCCAACAGGGCAAAAAAGAGCTGCAAGTGTCTTTGTTCCAGACTCTAGTGCTGCTTATGTTTAACGAAGGCGAAGAATTCAGTTTGGAAGAAGTCAAGCAAGCCACTGGAATAGGTCAGTCTTCACTCCTGCTTCTGGCTTCCAAGCATGGGCAAACTTTGGCCCTCCCTCCAGGTGTTTTGGACTCCAACTCCCACAATTCCTGACAGGGCCGAAGTTGGCCCGTGCCTGCGTTGATGAGTCAAATCCTAATCTTCCTTTCTCCATTGCAGAAGACGGAGAGCTGCGGCGGACGCTTCAGTCGTTAGCCTGCGGCAAGGCCAGAGTGCTGACAAAAAGCCCCAAAGGCAAAGACGTGGAAGATGGCGACAAATTTACCTGCAACGATGACTTCCGACACAAGCTCTTCCGGATAAAAATCAACCAGATTCAGATGAAAGAAACGGTATCTTGTCTTTTCTTCACTTACCATAAGTATTCTCGCATTCCTAAAAACCATGTTGGTCCACATCCCATTTTAATAGTGTGAATAATCTGGAAAATTTTGATATGTCAAGGGTGGTGTTAATGGATTGCTTAAGCCTTCTGACTCTTACAGCAAAGTGAGCTTGTTCCCCTACCACGTCATTAATTCCATGCGAGCGTGGAGTTAATATGGCAGCTTATTTATCTCCACATTTTGATTAATCCCACCCAGAGGAGAGCTTTGGCCACTGCAAGATGTAATGCATTGCCATCAGTTCTTCTGGATGGTTCCCAGCCTGTGAGTCCCCAGATATTTTGGCCTTCAACTCCCAGAAACCCTAGCAACTGATAAAACTGGCTGGGATTTCTGAGAGCTGTAGGCCAAAACTCCTGGAGACCCAGGTTGAGAAGCACTGGGTTAAACTGTTGTGCCAGCAGGACTAAAGACCAACAGGTCAGAGTTTTGAATTCGGGAAAAGCACGGATGAGCTCCCTTTGTCAGCTCCAGCTCCCCATGCGAGGACATGAGAGAAGCCTCCGACAAGGATAGTAAAACATCAAAAACATCCGGGCAACATCCTCTGAGCATCATCCTTGCAGACAGCCAATTCTCTCGCGCCAGAAGCGACTTGCAGTTTCTCAAGTCACTCCTGACACACAAAGGCACAGGATCGGTTTGAACCCTTCCTTGTTCTTTTTACTCTACATACTCCTGTTCAAGTCAACAGCTGCTCAAAATTAATCCATTCACTTTTCGCTGCCCCAGATATTTATTTTGTTTATTTACAGAATTTATATTCTGCCCTTCCCATCCCGAAGGGGACTCAGAGCAGATCACGGAACATATACTCAGCAGATATTCAATGCCATTAGACAGACAGGACAAAAAAACAGATAGATGTGGTTTGTTTCCCAACTTCGGTGTCCTGGAGGTTGTACTCAATTCGGGCCACAAGGGGGTGCTGTTGCTCCATCGTCTATGATGCAGACTTCCTCCTTCCTTTGATTGCCCGCATTTTCTGGTACTTCCTTTTTCCGGTGCCGTAAAATACCTCCCCACTTAAGCAATGTCTAATGTCTCTACTCACACCTCACAGATGTTTTCGAACTGCTTAGGTGGACAGTGAGTTGGGCTGAAAGTCGGGTGCTCACCTCAACCCAGGCATTGCATTGCCAACCTTTTGATATATGTGATCTTATTTCTGCTGGTGATTAACCAGCTGTGCTACAGCCTGGCTAATATGACTAATGCGTGTCCCATCCCCATTTTTCCTACCTTTGCAGGTAGAGGAACAAGCCAGCACTACGGAAAGGGTGTTCCAGGACCGGCAATACCAAATCGACGCAGCCATCGTGAGAATCATGAAGATGCGCAAGACGCTGAGCCACAATCTGCTGGTATCGGAAGTATATAACCAGCTAAAATTCCCAGTAAAGGTAGGACACAATATTACATGTAGTAATATTACATGTAATATAAAATATATAATTATTATATTGTATTATTATTAGTATTATGCTGTATTGCAATATTATGATCAATATATGTACATACAATGTATTATAATTATTAGCATAGCACAATATTAGTATTATATATTACTATATTGTACTATATACTGCAATATTACTATCAATATTACATGTAATATATAAAATACAATTATTATACTGTATTATTGTTAGTTTTGTATTATATTATAATACTATTATCAGTCTTATTAAATTGTATTATGATTAGTATTATATTGTATTACAATATTATGATCAATATTATATGTACATACAATGTATTACGATTATTAGCATAGCACAATATTAGTATTATATATTATTATAGTGTATTATTTTATATTATACTATTATCAATTTTAATATATTGTATTATTATTAGTATTGTATTGTCTTACATTATAATTCTATTATTAATATTATATATATATATATACAATATATTATATTATTAGCACAGCACAATATTAGTATTATATATTACTATATTGTACTATATACTGCAACATTACTATCAATATTACTTGTGATATATAATATATAATTATTATACTGTATTATTGTTAGTTTTATATTGTATTATATTATAATACTATTATCAATCTTATATTGTATTATTATTAGTATTATAATAATTATGATCAATAATTATGATCAATATTATGGTTAATATTATATGTCCATACAATGTATTATAATTATTAGCACAGAACAAATTAGTATTATATATTACTATATTGTACTATATTCCACAATATTACTGTCAATATTACATGTAATATATAATATACAATTATTATACTGTATTATTGTTAGTTTTATATTGTATTATATTATAATACTGTTATCAGTCTTATTATAGTGTATTATTATTAGTATTGTATTGTATTACATTATAATTCTATTATTAATATTATATGTATATACAATATATTATATTATTATCACAGCACAATATTAGTATTATATATTACTATATTCTCCAATATCACTATACTGAAATATTATTAGTAATATTACATGTAATATGAAATACAAAATTATTATATTGTATTATTAGTAATATATTGTATTACAATGTGATGATCAATATTATATGTACATACAATGTATTGTTATTAGCATAACACAAATTAGTATTATTATTAGTATTGTATTGTATTGTATTACATTATAATTCTATTATTAATATTATATGCATATACAAGATATTATATTATTAGCACAGCACAATATTATATTGTGAACTGCTAGGTTGGCAGGAGCTAGAACTAACAGCGGGAGCTCACCATGACCCACAGCTTTGAACTGCCAACCTTTTGGTCAGCAGATTCAACAGTTTAACCTGTTGGACTACTACAGGGCCTTGGAATTCCCAAAAAACAGGGTAATTCGAGACAGGAGACAATCAGGGCCAGCTAACACCTCCCAACAAATGATTCCCCAGACAGGAAGCAGCCTGTCTTTGAAGCTGCACAGCCATTTAATGCTAATCAAGGTGGCCAATTGCAACATCCACACTTGCCTCCAACAGACAAGAGTTCTTTCTCCCACCCTGGATATATATAAGCCCCACTTGCCTAGTTTCCAACAGAACTCACAACCTCTTAGGATGCCTGCCATAGATGTGGGGAAAATGTCAGGAGACGATGCTTCTGGGACATGGCCAGACAGCCTGGAAAACTCACAGCAACCCAGTGATTCTGGCCATGAAAGCTTTCGACAACATGTAGATACTACATTTTTTAAAATAGCCTGCCGCTGAACAAGTAGTATTTTATTGTGCCAAAATATGTAAACGTTGCTTACTTTCTGCCTTGCTTTGCAGCCTGCTGACCTTAAGAAGAGAATAGAATCGTTAATTGACAGAGACTACATGGAACGAGACAAGGAAAACCCCAACCAGTATAACTACATTGCATAAATATACAACCAGCCTTTTTTTGTTGTTTTGTTTTGTTTTTTTCTTTTTCTGCGCACTCAATGTCCTTCCTCCTTGGTTGCCGGTGGAGAAGCCACCCGTTGATCCCATTCAATTAACCCCCCCTTTTTCCCCCTACTACCAGTGACTGAAATGAAAAGCAGCGTAATGGGGGAAAGGGGGTGACGTAAGCGAGCGAACTTTTCTCAATGGCCGTAACGTGCCCATTGAAGGAGTAGTATTTACATTTTTCAGAAGAATGCTGTTGAACTCTTTGCATGACACTTGGTATGGTGTGCAGAAAAACCATAAGGAAGTTTCCGGTCTTTGGGGGAAATGGACTTCAAGGGAGGCCTTTCTTTAGGAGACAGAACAACAACAAAGGGGTAAAAAAAATACTTTTTTTTTACTTTTGTTAAAAGTAGCCTTTTTACAAATGCTTAAACTGCATGCAAACGATTTCCTGTTTGGAATTAATTGGATTTGTGGATCAAATAGCGAACGAGAAGCCAAGCTCAAAATCTGTGGATTCATAAAACAATTTGCAGCTCTCAGAAAGAAAATTGCCATTCATGGAGGTGGTTCTCAACAACAAGCAAAGAGAGCTTGTTCCCCTACCACGTCATTAATTCCGTGCAAGTGTGGAGTTATTGTGGCAGCTTATTATCTCCACATTTTGATTAATCCCACCCAGAGGAGAGCTTTAGCCACTGCAAGATGTAATGCGTTGCCATCAGCTCTTTTGGATGGCTCTCAACCTGTGAGTCCCCAGATGTTTTGGCCTTCAACTCCCAGAAACCCTAACAGCTGGTAAACTAGCTGGGATTTATGGGAATTTGAGACCAAAACACCAGGGGACCCACAGGATGAGAACCGGTAAAGTTTAAGGCTGTGGTTCTCAACCTGTGAGTCCCCAAATATTTTGGGCTCCGACTTCCAGAAACAGCTGGTAAACTAGCTGAGATTTCTGGGAATTGGAGGCCAAAACACCAGGGGACCCACAGGATGAGAACCGGTAAAGTTTAAGGCTGTGGTTCTCAACCTGTGAGTCTCCAAATATTTTGGGCTCCGACTTCCAGAAACAGCTGGTAAACTAGCTGGGATTTCTGGGAATTGGAGGCCAAAACATCTGGGGACCCACAGGTTGAGAACCACTGCAGTCTAAGGTGACGTAAACATTCATTGGTGGTCACCGAAAGCCCTTTGATTGGTGCTGCAAAGCCCATCATAAAAAGTGTAGCGTTTAGATCACCAATATAGGCTCCTCATCTTCAAATGTAAATACTTGGGAAATAAAATGACTGTTTGAAAGTTGCCATCAGGGCCCTTCCCTCCTCCCGTTTTTCTATCGTTTGCAAAGAAATGAAATTTTGGATTTCCTTTTCTGTCACAACACTACAAAACAGTAATTCTCAGCCTGTGGGTCCCCAAATGTTTTGGCCTTCAACTCCCAGAAATCGTAACAGCTGGGATTTTTGGGAGTTGGAGGCCAAATCACCCACAGGTTGAGAATCTACTACAAAAGCCTGCCCTTGAGGAAGTTTCCCCTCTTCTAATTCTCTGTGATTTCCGCTTCTATTGCAAGGAAAAGCTGGATGTTCATGGAGACGCTCGTTTCAAGTCTTTGCAGGCTCAGCCAGCATTGCAGCCCACTCATATCTGCAGGTTGTTGCTGAAGTGACTTAGTTAATATCCTAAAGTTTGTGCTTTAAGAAGCGTTCCTTGAACCAGCTTGCCAAATCCGCTTTAAAGAATGTAGAGAGGACCATCCTCTCCAACCACGTGCTTCCCTTCAAAGACACCAGAGCAGTGGTTCTCAACCTGTGAATCTCCAGATTTCTTGGCCTTCAACTCCCAGAAATCCCAACCAGTTTATGATTTTTGGGAGTTGAAGACCAAAACATTTGGGGACCCTCAAGTTGAGAACCACGGCACCAGAGAATTGCAAAACATTGCAAGATCCGACTTCGCGAAAAATTCAGGACTTGAGAATCTCTGCCTATTTTTTTCCTTGTTGTCCCTTTCTTTTTACTTTGCCTAAATCTATAAACAGTTCATCTTTTCCTTGGTAGGTTTTAGAGATGTTCCTGCCATCGTATATTACGTTGTGCATGTTTATGCCTCAAAACCTCCTTTGCTCAGTGTTGCTTTAATGGGAACCACTACAGCACAGAATTGCAAAACGTTGCAAGATCCCACTTTGCAAACACTGAAGCGCTTGAGAATCCCTGCCTAGTTTTTTCCTTGTTGTCCCTTTCTTTTTACTTTCCCTAAATCTATAAACAGTTCATCTTTTCCTTGATAGGCTTTAGAGATGTTCCTGCCATCGTATATTACGTTGTGCGTGCTTATGCCTCAGAACCTCCTTTGCTCAGTGTTGCTTTAATGGGAACCACTGCACCAGAGAATTGCAAAACGTTGCAAGATCCCACTTTGCAAACACTGCAGCACTTGAGAATCCCTGCCTAGTTTTTCCTTGTTGTCTCTTTCTTTTTACTTTCCCTAAATCTATAAACAGTTCATCCAGCTGCATTTCCTACGTTTTTGGAATTAAAATCCCCGAAATGAAGTGTTTTGGAGCAAATAATGCAGCTGTGCCAAGGGGGGAAATGTCAAAAATGTTACATGTGCATGTAGAGTGAAAACATTTCAACTCTTAACGGAGAATGAGAGCCAAGGACGGGGACTTTCAAAATGGATTTGGGCCGTAACAGAAACTGTTTACAGCGAGATCCTTTTGAGAAAATGTCCTTAAGGTTTTGCACGATGGCAATTCAGATCATCCCATGGAGTTCCTCTATTTCTGAAGGAGATTATTAGAGTTTGGTTGAGCTCATGATGGAAAAGGCTATTGCTGGGTTGCTGTTTGTTTTCCGGGTTGTATGGCCATGTTGCAGAAGCATTCCCTCCAAATGTTTTGCCTCCATCTATGGCAGGCATCTCCATAGAGGTAGGCGAAACATCAGGATGCCTGCCATAGATGCAGGCGAAACATCAGAAGAGAATGCTTCTGCAACATGGCCATACAGCCTGGAAAATTCACAACAAACCATTGGTTCTGGGCATGGAAGCCTTCGACAATACAAAGGCTATTGCGTTGGCAACCTCTTAATTTCCTGATTGAGCATTCTATCAAATTGGTGTTAGCCATACTCTCCAGCAACTCTGCTGGGATCACGTGCCTGCGTTATTGAGCCATACAGATATGTATAATAGATGACTGATAGACAAACACACCTTTCTTGGACTGTGACCCTCGTGTCAGGCCATAGGTTTTCCAAAACCCGCCCTCCGTTGCATGCAGTTTATAGCAGACTCCTTTAGAAGAAACTGCAAATTTATTATAATATAGTTTGGGGTGTGTTGTGTTTTTTTTTTTTTTACAAAAAAGAAAAACTTCCTATACAAAAACACTGGTTTTTTCCCCTTCTTTTGGGTGATTTAAAATGAATTTCAGAAAGCGTCCGTTTGGTTCCGAAACGAGCGGCGAAAGCGTTGTACAAACTTGTTTCTGTTCGATAGCTTAACACAAAAAGGTGCCAAAGTACAGAGAGTGGATTGAAACGAAACGTAGGCCATTGTTCAGTGAGAGCGGTGCTTTTGCCTTCTTCTTTCTTTTTGTTTTGGGTCCTTCCGATGCTCCTTTTATGCGTTGCGCATTTCCGTGTGTGTGATCTACGTGTGTCCTGGTCTCTGCACCTCTCCAAGGCCAACCATCATTTGTTTCTGTGCATCTGAGGACACCACTTTGGGGTTTTATTTTCCCTAAATACAATAGGGAAAGCGTCTGTTTCAAAAGTTCCAAGAGTCCAGCAGCATTCGAAAATGTAATATACTGTTTTTGTATAAAGACGTTCTTCAGAAGAGTATCTTTGAAGCTGGAAGGAAGCGACGGAAAGGGGGAAATAAGGCCCTGCTCCTTTCCGGGCACCGTTTTTTTAAATGGGCCGCTTAAAAGAGTTTTACTGGTTTGTGGTGGGAACGTTCTGCTGGCCCAATGGGGCATAGGTCAGCATTGCGTCGTTCCATGCAACAACAACAAACAAAAACACAAAACAAAACAAAAAAAAGTTAAAAGTAGGTCAAATGTTTCATAAGAAGTGGATTGGGTACAGAGAGTCTCTTCTTTGGTAAATAATGTAAATACATGTCCTTTAAAAAAAAAGAGTGAGTCTGTTATCTAGGTATTTTGTGTCATTTAATAAATAATAAACAGTTTTCGTGTTGCTAAACTCTTCATTTTGGTCGTGCCTGGCGTGGCGTGTGTTCCGTGTACATCTTGGTGTGTGAATGTGAAAAAGCTCTTTTTGGAATGCTTGTTGTTGTTGTTATTATATTATTTATAAAAGGTAAAGGTAAAGGATTCCCCTTGACATTAAGTCAAGTCATGTCCAACTCTGGGATTCTGGTGCTTGTCTCCCATTTCTAAGCCGAAGAGCCGGCGTTGTCCATAGACACCTCCTAGGTCATGTGGCCAGCATAACTGCATGGAGCACCATTACCTTCCCACAGAAGCGGTACCTATTGATCTACTCACATTTGCATGTTTTTGAACTGCTAGGCTGGCAGAAGCTGGGGCTAATGATGGGAACTCTGTCCTGCGATTTGAACTGCTGACCTTCTGGTCAGCAAGTTCAGCTTAGCGGTATAATACGCTGCACCACTGTGGCCCCAATATATGCCCCAATCCTGACTCTGAGAGCCGTTCAGCAGTGGAACTCTCTGCCCCGGAGTGTGGTAGAGGCTCCTTCTTTGGAAGCTTTTAAACAGAGGCTGGATGGCCATCTGTCAGGGGTGATTTGAATGCAATATTCCTGCTTCTTGGCAGAATGGGGTTAGACTGGATGGCCCGTGAGGTCTCTTCCAACTCTTTGATTTTATAATATAATATAAATATACAACAATATAATATAATATATATAAAGGTAATATAATATAAGGCTATTATAGAATAGCCGGTGTCATCCATAGACGCCTCCAAGGTCATGTGGCCAGCATGACTGCATGGAGTGCCATTACCTTCCCGCAAAAGTGGTACCTATTGATCCACTCACATTCCCATGTTTTTGAACGGCTAGGTTGGCAGAAGCTGGGCCTAACAGTGGAAGCTCACCAGCAAGTTGGAGCCCCCAGTGGCACAATGAGTTAAACCCTTGTGCTGGTAGGACTGATCTACCGACAGGTTGGCAGTTCGAATCCACATGCCCAGCTCCTGAAGCCGCTCCTCATGGGGCTTGTTCTCCAGACCCTTGATCATTTGAGTCGCCCTCCTCTGAACACATTCCAGCTTAGCGTCAACATCTCCCTTCAGTGGTGGTGCCCAGAATTGGACACAGTATTCCAGGTAATTCCAAGGTTATCATTCTAAACCTCTATTAGACATTCCAAACTTATACTTCATTTTGGTCATGCCTAGCGTGTGTCTTGGTGTGTGGAACGTGAAAATTCTCTCTTTGGAATGCCTGGTGTCATATTTATTTATAAAAAGTAAAGGTTTCCCCTTTGATATTAAGTCCAGTTGCGTCCGACTCTGGGACTCTGGTGCTCATCTCCATTTCTAAGCTGAAGAGCCGGCGTTGTCCATAGACGCCTCCAAGGTCATGTGGCCAGCTCCTACATTGGAGAAAGGAGAGGGCAAAACAGCAGCAACAGCCCTTTGTGACTCAGCAGCCTTGTTGTATTGAGGTCACAGAGCGGTTCAGAGCAGAAAATGGTAATCCGGAAAGAGGATCAAGCCCATTGGAAAGGCTTTTCTCCTCCCGGGCTTCCGAGACCATTCCTTATTCCAGAGGGAGCAAAAAAGTAGCCGCAAACAGCCGGACCTTCCTTTCTGTTGCTCTTCTCTTTAGTACCATCTCACAAACAATAAAGCCTGGGTCTCCGCAGCCATATGAATGCAGTCTGAACTGTGTTATGATAGTTAGTGTGGATCCAAACATGGTTCCTCCGTTCCCATGTTTGGTAGGAAAACTTACACGATGCAACATGAGTTTTGTTCCTGGCTCATCAATGCCATTTCCTAATTGGTTCTATCATAAAATTATGAGAAAATTTTATTTCTGCAAGAGGGAGGGACATCATCCTGCAGCACTATATTACAATTGCAATATTATAATTGCATAATTATTATACCATTATAACAAATACATATAATATGAGTTTTGGTCCTGGGTCATCAATGCCATTTCCTAATTGGTTCTATCATAAAATTATGAGAAAATTTTGTTTCTGCAAGAGGGAGGGACATCATCCTGCAGCACATTATATTACAATTGCAATATTATAATTGCATAATTATTATACCATTATAATAAATAAATATAATATGAGGTTTGGTCCTGGGTCATCAATGCCATTTCCTAATTGGTGCTATCATAAAATTATGGGAAAAGTTATTAATCTGCAAAAAAAAACGTGGTTTTTGCAAGAAGGAGGGACATCATCCAATATTATAATAATTATCATTATAATATAATTAATTAATATAATACGAGTTTTGTTCCCGGGTCATCAATGTCATTTCCTAATTGGTTCTATCATAAAATTATGAGAAAAGTTTTATTAATCTACAAAAAATCTTTGTTTCTGCAAGAGGGAGGGACCTCATCCTGCAGCACATTATATTACAATTCCAGTATTATATTATAATTGTATAATTATCATTATAATAATATAATAAATATAATATAATATGAGTTTTGTTCCTGGGTTATCAATGCCATTTCCTAATGGGTTCTATCATAAAATTATGAGAAAACAACAAGAGGGAGGGACATCATCCTGCAGCACATTGTATTACAATTGCAATATTATATTATAATTGTATAATTATTATACCATTATTATTATTATTATTATTATTATTATTATTATTATTATATAAAATAATTAATTAATATAATACCAGGTTTGTTCCTGGGTCAACAATGCCATTTCCTAATTGGTTCTATCATAAAAATTATGGGGAAAGTTTTATTAAACTACAAAAAAAAACTTGGTTTCTGCAAGAGGGAGGGACATCATCCTGCAGCACGTTATATTACAATTGCAATATTATATTATAATTATATATACCATAAAATATAATAATATAATTAATATAATATGAGTTTTGTTCCTGGCTCATCAATGCCATTTCCTAATTGGTTGTATCATAAAGTTATGGGGAAAATTTAATTAAACTGCAAAAAACCTTGGTTTTTGCAAGGAGGGACATCATCCTGCAGCACATTATATTACAATTACAATATTATATTATAATTATATAAACCATAAAAATATAATAATATAATTAATATAATATGAGTTTTTTCCTGGATCGTCAATGCCATTTCCTAATTGGTTCGATCATAACATTATGGGGAAAGTTTTTACCATTATAATAATATAATTGATATAATACAGTTTTGTTCCTGGGTCATCAATGCCATTTCCTAATTGCTTCTATCATAAAATTATGAGAAAAGTTTAAACAAACTCAAAAAAAAAACCTCTTGTGTTTCTGCAGGAGGGACATCATCCTGCAGTATATTATATTACAATTGCAATATTATATTATAATGGTATAATTATCATTATGTTGTTGTTCATTCGTTCAGTCGTCTCTGACTCTTCGTGACCTCATGGACCAGCCTACGCCAGAGCTCCCTGTCGGCCGTTACCACCCCAGCTCCCTCAAGGTCAGTCCAGTCACTTCAAGGATGCCATCCATCCATCTTGCCCTTGGTCGGCCCCTCTTCCTTTTGCCTTCCACTTTCCCCAGCATCATTCCCTTCTCTAGGCTTTCCTGTCTCCTCATGATGTGGCCAAAGGACTTCAACTTTGTCTCTAGTCTCCTTCCCTCCAATGAGCAGTCGGGCTTTATTTCCTGGAGGATGGACTGGTTGGATCTTCTCGCAGTCCAAGGCACTCTCAGCACTTTCCTCCAACACCACAGCTCAAAAGCATCTCTTCCTTCGCTCAGCCTTCCCTAAGGTCCAGCTCTCACATCCGTAGGTGACTACAGGGAATACCATGGCTTTGACAAGGCAATGGATCTTTGTTGCCAGTCTGATGTCTCTACTCTTTACTATTTTATCGAGATTGGACATTGCTCTCCTCCCAAGAAGTAAGCGTCTTCTGATTTCCTGGCCACAGTCTGCATCTGCAGTAATCTTTGCACCTAGAAATACAAAGTCTGTTATGGCCTCCACGGTTTCTCCCTCTATTTTCCAGTTGTCAATCATTCTTGTTGCCATAATCTTGGTTTTTTTGACGTTTAGCTGCAACCCGGCTTTTGCGCTTTCTTCTTTCACCTTGATTAGAAGGCTCCTCAGCTCCTCCTCGCTTTCGGCCATCAGAGTGGTGTCATCTGCATATCTGAGGTTGTTAATGTTTCTTCCAGCAATTTTCACCCCAGCTTTGCATTCATCCAGCCCCCCACATCGCATGATGTGTTCTGCATACAAGTTAAAAAGGTTGGGTGAGAGGATGCAGCCTTGCCGTACGCCTTTCCCAATCTTGAACCAGTCTGTTGTTCCGTGGTCAGTTCTGACTGTTGCTACTTGGTCCTTGTACAGATTCCTCAGGAGAGAGGGAAGGGGGCTTGGGATGCCCATCCCACTAAGAACTTGCCACCATTTATGATGATCCACACAGTCAAAGGCTTTAGAATAGTCAATGAAGCAGAAGTAGATGTTTTTCTGAAACTCCCTGCCTTTCTCCATTATCCAGCATCCGGATATTGGCAATCTGGTCTCTCGTTCCTCTGCCTTTTCTAAACCCAGCTTGAACATCTGGCAACTCTCGCTCCATGTATTGCTGGAGTCTTCTTCCTTGCAGGATCTTGAGCATTACCTTACTGGCATGAGAAATAAGGGCCACTTTACGGAAGTTTGAGCAGTCTTTCGCATTTCCCTTTTTTGGTATGGGGATATAAGTTGATTTTTTCCAGTCTGATGGCCATTCTTGTGTTTTCCATATTTGCTGGCATATGGCATGCATCACCTTGACAGCATCATCTTTTAAGATTTTAAACAGTTCAGCTGGGATCCCGTCGTCTCCTGCTGCCTTGTTGTTAGCAATGCTTCTTAAGGAATTATCATTATACCATTATAATAATATAATATTAATATAATGTGAGTTTTGTTCCCGGGTCATCAATGCCATTTCCTAATTGGTTCTATCATAAAATTACAGGGAAAGTATTATTAATCTATAAAAAACTTGGTTTCTGCAAG